TATAATATTGTGGAATCTGGTCCCGTTGCTAGGTAACGACCGCGAAATAAGCGACTATACAATGCCACTACTAGGCAGCGACACGTAAACAGAACCAGAGGGACGGTGTTTTCTGTGAGGTTCGTGCCGAAACGTAAGCAGGACAGTTTAGATGTTTCAGTTAGTGAGTGAGTGAATTAGAGGACTGCTGGGGTTCAATTCTTGTGAGCTATTGCTATTAGAAGCTGTGGTCGCAGACAGTTCGGGAGCCCAGAGGAAGGGGAATGTCCGTCTTTGGAAGCCGCTGCCAAGTAACGATGGGTGAAGACGTGACTGGATACGTGTGTGTATGTGTAGAAATGAAATGTAAAGTGTAGTCACGCGCTGTATCAAAGAGCTCAATATATCCGATTACCAATTCAAACCCCGTGTATAGTCACTAATATTGTGATAATATTTTCTATTTTAGGTGCTGCATGTAGGAGCAGTCTTGAACTCCAGAAATTTATCATAGTTAATTTATGGTTTAAAATGCCCGGCGTTCAATAATATGACATTTGAAAATTACCTTCTTCTGGGTTATGACGCCTTGTAGTCTGGTAGTTCTTTGCCGAAGTTTAGGGAGAATAAGCTGCCTCTATCTCCCATCCTTATAGTAGAGGCAGAAGATTCTTTCGAAACATTCGTACCTACTTCCCAAACTGCACGGCTTCACATCCAAGAAGATATTAATCTTCATATCTATCGTCGGGAGAACACTGACGAGAGAAATTTTGGCGAGTTTTAGCGAAAAATATTTTTCTTTCCACTCCAAGTTTACTGTTCGTGGGGATATATACATATTGAAGTAGAGTTATGGATGGAGCGGGGGTCGAGTTGGTGCTCTGGCATGAATCTATGGTTAAACAACAGACAAGCAGTACCTCTCATTTCCTCCGGGATGCGCCGAGAAAGCGCCTCTGTTCTTTCTCCATCCTTTCCAATTCATTATACACTAATCATCCTAGAATTCCGTGCTACAGAGTTTGACGATGTCGTTAAGTAGAAATAAAACAAGTCCAGGCCTGTGCATGCAGTGACGTGGCTCTCTGACATTTGGACAAATGCCAGGCGGGTCAGGTATTCCAGTAACAGAGGCGCCGTGTTTCCAGATTCTGTGTCCACTACAGGCCACTTGTTTCCCGCTACGAGCTGCAAGTTCGTTTTTATGGGGAAAATTGTAGCGAGGAAAACACAGCATTTTGGTTAGAAAAATCTTAAACGGACAGAGAGGGGGAGAAGTTAATTAAATAATAGTAAGGGCCGCGTCATAGCTCAGCGGTTAGTCGCTGGCTTCCCACCGCGGCGGCCCCGGGTTCGAGCTCGGGGTCTGGTCATGTGGGATTTGTGGCGGATAAAGTGGCGCTGGGGCAGGGTTTCTACGAGTACTTCAGTTTCCACTATCATTCTTCTTTCCACCAGTTGCTCCACAATCACCCTCACCTACCATCTGGGGTTGGTACAATAGGCAAGAAGTGGCCGCATTACCAAGTGGACTTAGTCCCACCCTACTAAGGAAAAAAAAATATTATTAAGTGATCCCATTGAAATTCAACGGGAGCTTATTTCATTAGTATCCTCTCCCTTCGCACGTTTCTTACTTCTTTATCCCTTCATACCTTTATCTCTTTCCCTCCTTTCTCCGTTATAAGTCACATTTTTACCCTTCAGCACGCGTAGCTTTGAACCTAGAGCCGCTTGTGTAAGTACGTGGAAAGTAATAAGGCGCAAGAAAGACATAACATGCACGCAGATAACACACATACATACGCATAAATCCTTTGTAAGTTTTAGAACAGTGATTCTCATGCTTCTGCTTGTCCTGTTCAACCTGCCATTTTGTTAAAAAGCCGCTGCCCCTCTACACTGAAAGCAAAGCTTGTCTTCCAAAGAATTGTATATAAACAGCATATTAATCATTAATTGATGTTACAACTCCCGAAACCTCACGCGAACCTCAGCAGATGTAAAGTCCCAAAGGCAAGTTTACTGCTGACACATTGGTGAATTTACTGACTGTCGTAGAACGTTCTCCTGTTGGCCTACTGTTTGAATCTGAAGACGGAGGCGATATATTCTTCCGAAACGTCGATGGGATTCTAAAGGACCAAACGGTGTCACACCCAAGTTGATAGAAATCTTTGTAATGGCAGCTGTGAGAACATCGGGTCCAACACAGGAGTTTATCTGCTGAAAGTTTTTAGCTTTGGGAGGAACACTGCGGCAGTCGATAATCCAGCCTCATTCTGACGTCAGAGACACACTGAAAGTTACATATACAATTGAGGGGATACAGGGATGCCAACGGAATTTGAAAATATTTTGGAGGGACTTGATCAGCCTCTTTCCACCGCCGGAATTCCTGTCCGACAGGAAGGACCGAATTTGGAAGGAAGATAATGACGACAGAGAAACCAAAATATTCTTGAGATTCATAGGGCGAGGCCTTAACGACATAAACCTGAACAGTTCATAACGGTATTCTTTTTAGTTATGTAACGGCGTTGTCAGTATCGAGACTATATTGTAGCGTGTATAGGCGTTGCTATGCAACGACAAATATACGAGCGAATTTTCTTAGCAACGGCATGGTAAACACGTTCTCGCGACAATGAATATGCAGTTTTCCTGTGTGGTCCATGCTGAGATGTCACAAGTAAGGAATAAAGCCAGTTAAGAGGCAGTTTTGCAGGAAGGAAGAACCTGAGCTTGGGTGGCTGAATAATCTCTACTGTTAACATCCGTTACCAGGAAACATCTGCTGGAGACACTGCAGGCTAGAGAAGACTTAGTGTTTGCGACAGTGGTTAGTGAAGTATGGAGATTAGTTGTAGCGCTGTAATTACTTGTAGTTCCGACTTGTGTGGTAAAGTGATCAGTAAACCGAATCACCAATCCAAACCCCGTCGATAGTCACTCATACTCATACAGATGACAATATCATCACCTAAGTATTGGATTGTGCTGTGTCCATCAACAGCAGTTTTCGGGGAACTGGGTTTGAAGTCAGGGAATCAGTGGCAGGTTAAACGTTGACTTACAAAAAAATCATATACTGAAATCTCACATCTGAAAATAAGGTAAACGGTGAGACAGTAGGGAGAATAATAAAACTCCATTTTCGCATTTTCACCCCAAATTGGAGATAGAGCATCCCATCTCTCAGGCCGCGCCATAGGTCAAGCGTTTAGTCTCTGGCTTCCCACCGCGGCGGCCCGGGTTCGATTCCGAGTCTAGTCAAGTGGGATTTGTGGTTGACAAAGTGGCGATGGGGCAGGTTTTCGCCGAGTACTTCGGTTTCCTCTGCCAATCTTCATTCCACCAATTGCTCCACAAACACCATCATCACCTATTATATGGGGCTGGTACAATAGGCCAGAAGTGGCCGCAGTACAAGGGACTTAGTCCCACCCCACTAGCAATAAAAAATACCCATCTCTCAGACAGGCAGATAATCGATTCCTGATGATGATGATGATGATGATGATGATGATGCTGCTGAGAGCCTTACTCCATCTTGCCGTGGGTAGATCTTGTGATGATCTTACGCCATTTGTCCTGATCTGGAATTATTGTAGAGACAAATCTCCTCTCGACATTCTGCCTGAGAACATTACACGGTCCAGAATAAGAAACGGTTACTGTTGTATTTCGTTAAATAGAGCAGTGACAGAATGAAGCCGTCTGCGGATGACTGTTACACCGACTATAGAGCACATATTGAGCTCAATTCTCTGTCTGAAACCTGTGGAGCTGACATGATCTCACAACTCTCAGCACAAGATTACTGCCCTGTGATATTGTGCCGTGCCATAGTAGAAAGTTACCAGCTTCTCGGAGGAACCTACTGCTTCCTTCTTCAGGGGAGAAGAAATCAGGCTTCTCTGAAACGTTGATAAATGTCTAATGCGTCACGTCCCAGAAGACAAATTTTTATCTGCTAATTCTTCTCTCACGATGAGCATTTTTTTAATCGGATTAGTTCTGTTTGAGCTCCGTGTTGAGTATGATTCATACTGGTCGGAAATTAAACTCTCCTGAAGATATTAATACCAGACACTTCAAAATGTATAGGAATCCATTTAGGAGTTTGGAGATGAAGCATGCAGGTGGATGGACATAACCTGGCGCAGGGTGTTCAACAGAGACCATGTCGCAATTTAGGTATCTACCCGAGGGTTGCGTTATAACTTAATATGCTCTTCCTGATACAGAATACAGATATATGCCCCGCAATGGCGAGATCTGCGAAGCAAAAGCGCGCGAATAAATACTGGAGTCAGAAAGTTCATAAATATTGGTATATTGTAGTGTTAAAAAAGTAAAACTATCCTTATAACAGACCGTGGAGGCCAATAGGGTTGTGAGACGTCGAGGCTCCCACATTCTTTAGAAAATCGGCTCACAGATGGCGGTGAAGTTGTCAGCATTACCCGCCGATCGTCCCTTGCCCCCAGGAAGATTCCTGGTACTCATTTCTGTTAGAGACTGAGGCGACCCCAGGGCCATAGTGCGGCTGGAAGGATGATGTCAATTGAAAATTTCAGCGACCTCATCGGGACTTGAATCCATGACCTTCCGGCTTGTAGCGTAGCACATCAACCAACTACGCTACCGCGTGGCCCGTATCACAATATTATGTAAGGAAATTTGAATAAATTCAATGAATTTGCCTCTGACAAAACAGACAAAGCAAACAGGGTTGCCAAATCGACGGTGCTTAAAAATCAGCCGCAAGAGGTTTTCTAATCTGTATTGATATTCCATACTGTGAAGGAGTCGTGCTACCTCCATGTATTTCTAAGTTATTTGTTGGAAACTTACACGCGGTATTTAATAATCAATTTTCAGATAATCATTTCCAGAAGAGTCGCCGCCCATTTCTGAAGAGGAGGAAAGCGGCAGGAATGAGAGAATACTCTCGTGGGTCCGCGAGTTGCACGTCTCTGGAGAGTAAAGTGAGCAGTGCAGAAGCTGCTTACCTGCCAGCCTTGCAGCAGCAAGCTCCTGTCCACTGTCCGCAGCCACATGACGGCGTCCCCTGCCTGGAAGTCCTTGAGGCGGTAGCACTTGGAGTGCAGGTAGATGCCCAGACACTTGAGCAGCTCTGATGTGGAGGCCTGGATCACCGTCTTCTTGGGTGCAACGTGCTGGTGATTCGCTGCAAGGTTCGACAGCAGCACCGCTTTCGGGGCCAACTTGTCGCAGTGCTGGTGCTGGTGGTTCGTGTTGTTGTTGTTGTTGGCGCGGACAATGTCCTGGCAGTCTATGGCCGCGGTTGTAGAGGACGTTGGTTTGTTGGTGGCTGGGAAGTAGCACAAGATGGCTGCCCCCTTCTGAATGTTCTTGTTCTTGTCCACCACTAGTGGGTGGATGTTGTCCACCAGCGGCTGTCGGAAGGCAGACATGTTCTTGTTCTTGTTGTCCAGCTTCTTCTTGTTGTTGTTGGCAGTCGAGAATCGCTTCCAGCTGAGTGCATTGATGAATAACGAGTGTTTCTTAAAGTTCTTCTCCAGTGCATTCTTCTCAGAGATGATTCTGGAGTTCTCGTTTATGTTGTTATTGTGGTTGTGGTGGTTATTGGAGTTGGTATTGTTAGCGACGCCGACTGCCGCCGTGACGCCCTTGTTCTCGCGGTTCTTGGCATTGTTAAGCTGCTCGTAGCTGAAGTTGTTGAGCGTGAACTCGCCACCGCTGTTACTGCTATAGACGGGGCGCCTCTCGCGAGGGCTGAAGCTCAACACTGTCCCCATCCTTCTGTTGCTGCTGCAGTTCGTCGTCGCCACAGAGTCCTCAGGAGTTCCACTCCACCGGCACTCAACGCCTCTAAGGCATGTGAAGTGCTGGGTTCTTGCTAATTGCGCTGGAAACACAAGTGCAGCCAACGGTCGGTTCTTCAGCGCCTGGTTACCCTAAAACATGGGAAATATTTATATGTTTTAAAATGAATATAGCAGCCCAGAGGCACACTGCAGCCATACCGAAAGCCCTGATACTCAAAGGCGTGGGTGGTACTTGAGAACCATGTTTATTGGTACAAAATGTCAGGATCCAAACCACTCAACGCAGTATCTCTTTTCCTTTTTCGAAAATCGTCTACATTTACACTGAAACGAAGGGATCTGATGACCATAAATTATTTTTGATCTTAATGTTCAACTTTCTATACTAGTCTTATCCCTTAGATATTAAATAATAGTTCCCTCACCTTTGCCCTTGATTTATCCCTTAGGAATCACCACCTTGTTAACGCTTCATTAACTGAAATATTTTCTTTAGTCAACGTTATAGTACTGTTTCATACAAACCTTTCGGTCTGTTTGGACTGTAGCTCACAAACCTGAGGCTTGTAGAATCAATATGGCGGCCAGTAGCAGGCAGTGCTTTCTTCTCTGTCTCACACATTCATATATATATATTTTTTTCTCTTCAGTAATGTTTTTTCCTTACACAGCAATCGTCTGCAACGTGCAGATAGCGGATGTGACGGATGCACTGTCTTACACTGTCCGTCAAAATCACAACCAAAGAGTCTGTACACTTGAGCACCCTAAAATTGGACTTTGTTCTCTTGTAATGCAACCAGAACTTCAAAACGTGAAGCCAGATGGAGACAAACTTTGACTTCCTAACTCCCGCAAGTACACAAGGGCTTCTATGACGCCACTAACTCTCCTTCTCGGTGTATCAGAGTCCTCGTTCTTCTCTCTCCTGTCCTATATGTTTTGAGCTCGAATATGACATTTAGAACTGTAATATCAGGCAACTGATGAACAGGAAACAGGCGTACCGACGGGTGTTAATCCAGTGCTTCTCTCTTCCCGTGCGACGTCGAGCCTCTACAACGTTTCAACTTTCAAAACAGGTTGAATAAACATGGCGATCGCAGTCGATCACAGAACTCTGGGGCTGCAGAGGGATTGGCACCCCCTCCCCCCAAAAATCAATATAATTCTACTTTTAACGCAAACCCAGAAATCCCCTAAAGACTTGAAACTTGGTCTAAGCGAATGGAATTTCCTAAAGCGTACATTCATATACAGTTACGCAGTGGCATCACTGCAACTAACTCAAGTGTTTCGCCGAACATTGGTGTCGAAATGTGGACTCGGACGGGAATCTCAGAACACTCACGTCACCACACGACTTGGGGCCTCGTGCCCCTCCAGTGCTCCTGGAACTGGCTCGGACACAAGTCTCTGGTGAAATCCAAAAAACCCAGCCCAAAGAGCTTCTCGCCCCTCCACGGCACGTCGCCCGTAGCAACGCCTGTCACATGACAGTGGTCGATAGTGTACACCAGATCACGTGATCTCTTCATTGCGCCTGGAAGGGTAGACTAGAGATCGCGGAAAACGAACTGCCCTATCCTTTATCCCCACCCCTTCTCGTTCGATAAGTTTTCATGAAACTTAAAAAAAGAGAGGGAGGGAGTTTGAAGATGAACGTGTGTGTCTTCTTGCAGAAGTGGCAGAGGGACTGAGGGGAATCCCAGGCTGATGGCACTTTGACCTCTGCGACAAGCAGCCTTCACCCTGTGGCCCTTACCCCGATCCCACAGTTTCCTTAAACATTCTACTTCGAGATTAGGGCAATGGCCGACCAGAGGATTTACGCATTTATTTATGGCTTGTAGAGAACAATCTTCTTGCATCAGACACCGTGCGATCTGGTAACATGCTACCGACGTTTCGACAGAAGGTACTGCCTCTGCAATGAGGGTGTAATGGTTAGGCAAGCAAGCAGAGAGTTTCTCCGAAACACCGGTGAACTTTAACAAGACCACATGACATCACTCCTAGAAGACAAACAAATGGGCGTTCTTTTTAGTCTGTGCCGTGAGAGGCTGTCTGTTGTTTATTTAACGATGCTATCAGTAGCTCAGGCTCACTGTGTCAGATGATAGGAAGAGTGATGAGTAGTAAATTGAATAAGATATGGCCTATTGTAAGGTACTATCCCAGAATTCGCATAGAAGAATTAAGGAAAACCACGAGATATCTCAGTCAGGATAGTGGGTCTCAGGATGGAGATTACTACCTTCGCGGGAGACTGGGTTGGCGTGGAGGTAACGCTCCAGACTCGTATTCAGGATGTACTGAGTTCAAATCTCGACCTGGAACTGATTGTCCTGACTGTGGATTTTTTGTTGTTTTCTCAAGCTCCTCCAGGCAAGTATCAGAACTCTATACTTCGATTAGGCTACGACTAGTTCCTTCCTGATCCTTTCCAGTTCATGCGGCGCCCTATAGGCTGGATACAGTTTTGCGTGCGTCGCCTCAACACTTCAGGAATGTTAGAGCCGGGATCCGCTGACTGACTGACTGACTGACTGACTGACTGATACACAGGTTGTGGTGTCACTTGGCTTCCGTTCCCCGTCTTCTATTTTTTGGCGTAATACCTAGATCCACTACGCCACCTGATATCGGCTCGTGACGTCAGCAGCGCATTCCTCGCCGTATGGCTGCAACGTCACTTTGAGGTGACTGACAATGAAGTAACTTCAGTGTGTAGTAAAATGAAATCCTAGATCATCAGAAAATGTCTTGAGTCCTAGGGAATACGGACTGAAAACCAATGTAAAATTGTACATCGGTCTGCCTGACATTCATGATTTGTGTACGCCAAATGTTATCAAAATGATAAAATCAAGAATGATGAGATGAGCAGGGCATGTAGTACGTAGGGGACAGAAGCGCATTTAGAGCTTTGTGAGAAAACCTGAAGGAAAGAAACCACTACGAAGTCTTAGATGTAGATGGGAGAATAATGTTGAAATGGTCCTTAAAGAAATTGAGTGGGTATGTACTGGATTCATCTGGCTCAGGATAAGAACCAGTGGAGGGCTGTTGTGAACATGGTAATGAACCTTCGGGTTTCATAAAGTGCAGGGAGTTCCCTGAGTGGCTGTGCGAATATTGGTATCTCATGGCGGACACAGCTCCATGGAGTTATGTGTTACAGGTGATAAATGGAAACTGTGCATTGTTACATATTCTGTTTGAATATTTATTGTTATCCGTTCTTGTTATGCCGTTTGGCATTTCTACTTTCTGAAATTCATCTGGGAAGGAAGACTCATTCTTAATGGGATACGATTAAAGTCAACCTCAATAAATTAATGGGAACAGTCATTTGTGTGATTAGGCTTCACATAGGCGAAGATTTAGATTATAGTTTTCTGGTTCTGAGACCGTGCAGTCTGGTAGATATTTACGAGCTCTTTTGATTTACTTGCTACTTCTGTCTTTTGAATAAAATATGAATGTAGAAGTTTTTTTAAACGTTTCACCATTCCTGCCGCAAATCGGAATATCAGAATCCAAGAGGCTCTTGTCTAGTCACAGAAACTCTCTTAGTTGCATAGTGTTAGGTCAGAAGTTACGGTAACTTGCCACAGACTGGGCTGCCGAGCTTCGACAGATTGAATTTATTCCAGTGCTCAGTGCCAAATTTCTTTCACCTGTTTTTTTTGTTCGGCTTATTCTTCTACCCTGAAGATGGAGGCAGTATGTTCCACCGAAACGTCTCTGACGCCTACTGACAGCTTCAAGTTTTTTTTTCACTTGGTACGTCGGCCACTATTTGGCCTATTGTACCACCCCGGATGGTAGTTGATGATGAGGGTGAAGCAGTCGGTCGAATGAGAATTGGCAGAGGGAAACGACGTACTAGGTCCTGCCCCAGCGCCACTTTGTCCACCACAAACCCCACATGATTTGACCTGGGCTCGAACCCGGGCCGCAGCGGTGGGAAACAGGCGAATAACCGCCCGAGCTACGGCGCGGCCTTACGTCATCAACTCACAGAAGAATCCCGCCTTCACGCAGGAGAGAGTTGGAATTGTTACTAGGTCCCCGTGTTGCTCACCGCGGGAGAGACGTCACGTCCAGCTGACTGACGTTTGACACACCACGTGTCTGATCGCTTATCAGATCGCGAGCCTTTTGTTTGTTTGTTTGTTTGTCTGCTTAGAGTAGCTTCCGCGATCCCTTCATTAGTAACGTTCGGTGTCAACAGATACATGACCACCTGCAGACTCTGCCACCACCTGAGAACTGAATGGAATACGTTTACAACTTCATGATGATAGCGAATCTACGTACATGCCAGTCTCACTTTATGATATAGCATAAATAGTTTACTTCATCAATGATCACTCCATAACGTGTTTCGGCTAAAAGACACATCATCAGGTAAGGAGTAATCTGGGGGGAGAGTTCATCTGGATTAAGGCAATAATCCGGATTAGTAAAGCAAAAGGTAGCCCTAAAAGACAAAAGAACTTAGAACACAAATAAAGGGGGGCACGCGGTGGCGTAGTTGGTTGAGGCACTATGCTACAAGCTGGAAGGTCGCGGGTTCAAGTCCCGATGAGGTCATTGGATTTTTATCAGTTGACCTGGTCCTTCTAGCCACACTATGGCCCTGGGGTCGACTCAGCCTCTAACAGAAATGAGTACCAGGAGTATTCTTGGAATATTGTTGGGGGTAAAGGGCGGCCGGCGCGTAGGGCTGACAAACTTGTCGTCATCTATGAGCCGATTGTCTAGAAAATGTGGGAACCTCAACATCTCACAACCCTATGGGCCTCCACGGCCTGTTACAGTGATAGCTTTACTTTCTTTTACACAAATAAATGGATAATTTAATGAAATAAGTAGTGCTGATTGGGGAAAAAAATAGAAAATATCACTGCAGAGCATTTATTTAAAGAAGACAATATGTATTTATTAATCCGTAGAAGACTCAGAAGTTGTACTTGTTTTTGAACGTAATAATGCAGGTTTGAAGAAACTGTCAAGTTGTGTCTGAACAGACAAGTGACTCATCTGCCTTCCTACATGTCAAATGTGTACCCAGCTGTGAACAGCATTTGTCATATTTTGATCCGGATTATCCGACATCCGAACCAGCAAGGGTTTACTGTTCAAATGAAATTGCAGAGGTTCTGACTGGTTGCTCGTGCAGCCGTCGCAAGCTGCAAGAATGGCGCTCAGACAGCGGCATGGCGTCTCAAGGCGGAGATAAAATCAATACAACTCCGGGGTGAGCCAGCTACGGAAATATTTGTTCGGGGGAGATTCACCGCACATTGACCTCTTGGCATGGCCCACACTCGGCGTATCTGCCCGCGTCTGGGCACCCGAACCGAAACAAGTGATTCGGGTGGAACTAGAGGGTGCTCTTCTGCACGGCTGCGCTTGGTACCTGGACAAAGTGCAACTGCAGTTAACTCTTTGAAGACAGATAGATAGATAGATAGATAGATAGACAGATAGATAGATAGATAGATAGATAGATAGATAGATAGAGGTAAAATTATCCTCGTAACAGGCCGTGGAGAGACATAGGATTATGAGACCTGGAGGCTCCCATATTTTCTAGATAATCGGCTCACAGATGGTGGTGAGTTTGTCAGCCTTACGCGTCTGCCGGCCGCCCTTTGCCCTCCAGGAAGATTCCTGGTACTTATTTCTTTGAGAGGCTGAGTCGACCACAGGGCCATAGTGCGGCTGGGAGGATTAGGTCATTTGAAAAATATCCAGTGACTTCATCGGGACTTGAACCCGCGACCTTCCGGCTTGTAGCATAGCCCCTCAGGACAGTACCTGCCCTTTATGGAATTCGCAGTGTTCGCAACAGCCCGCCACGGCTCCCTGTCCTGTATCAAATGAATCTAGCTTCCAGTATCCTGACTTATGCTTCAAGATTCATTCTAACATTCCCTCATCTACGTCGAGGTTTTCAAAGTTGTCTTCTTCTTTGACTTTAATGTAAAATAAAACGTAAAGTTGTCTCTGTGCTTGTGTATACACCATTCCATGAGGATGTGTGAGTAGTGGAGGTATAGCACCACCATTCTTGACCTCGGCAGTAGATGGAATTGAGTTGTTAGTTTCATATCCCTACAGATTTACCCTCGGAGATAGAGCCTCCGGTACCAATTGGACAGGAGGCTGGGTGAGCCAGTGTCAGTCTGGCCCCTGTAGAACAGAGAAAAATCTTTCTCTTGCCGGGAATCAAACCCTAGCCACCAAGTCTCTAGGCCATCGCTATAGCGACTTATCTACCCGGCTCTTTTCCTTTAAGGTTTTCCGACCAAAATTTTGCATCCGTTTTTCATCTCTCTTACACGCAGTACATATTCTTTAAATCACCAAATACTGCGTCATGTCACTTAATATACACTGCAATGAATTCAGCATCGTTT